TTCATGTCGGAGAGAGTGAACAAAAAAAAAAAAAAAAAAGTGAGAATTAGAGATTAACATAACCTAGGTACTTAACGACAGCATACCCTCTTTCAAATCTCCCGTGTCATAGCCCATAACTCCCCGCCCTCTCTCTATCCTCCCCTCCTCCTTTCACTGCTTCGTATCGCTGTTGCTGCTGCTGCTTCCTCCCTACTACTATCCCTTTGCGGTTGCCGATTGTTGTACCTCTGCGCCTGTGTCCCCGCTGCCTCTGTTCCTCTCCTGCTGTTACCCCGATTCCTGTCGTGTGCATCTGTGGCTATACACGCCTTTCCTTTTTTCCCAACCTCTCCTCCTCCGTATTCTCCCACCGACAAATAAAAAAACCCCGCCCCCCCCCCCAATCCAACCTCACTCAATCCTCTTTTGTGTGATCCCTCTGATCACACATACAATACCCTCTTCCTGACACCCCTCCAGTTGTGTGTTCCTGTTACCGCTCTCACGTGCTACTTTTATATCCCCCCTCCCCCTCTTCCTCCCCCAATTGTGTTCTCAGGAATTTTCCGAGACACCAAAACCATGGCTGAAGACAATAGTCAGCCGCAGCAGCAGGAAAATGAAAAATCCCGCTTCCTCGAATTCCGCTCAATTCCCTATGGCACCAAGAGGGACGGGGAGCTGGTCCTGAACCGCTATTCCTCGCTTCTGACTAACGGTTATGAGTTTCCCGGCGCTCAAGCAATGTTATACGCTGCTGGGATCAAGTCTCAGGAGGACATGAGAAAGAAACCGCAAGTTGGTATGAGTTTTTCCAATCTTCCAATCCAATTCTTGCGGAGCAACTATAAACGCTTTGCCTTGTCCTTAGGTGTCGCTTCTGTATGGTGGGAAGGCAATCCATGCAAGTATGGTTCCAACACCGAAAACGAAACACCATATATATATCCGGCACAAATGCTGACTAGATTTGCAGCATGCATCGTCCGTTCTCCCCCATCCCGTTCCTGCGCCCATTGGTCCCCCCATCGGTATTCTGATTGGTGAACTTGGAAAAAAATCGACAGTACTCGACCTCGGCAAGACTGTAAAGGAAGGTCTAGAGAATAACGGCATGATTGGTTGGCAATTCAACACCATTGGGGTATATGCCGCACGGCCTCTCCTCCTTATTCTCCGCAAGTTTCCTTGTTTGTCGGTGGCATAGAATCGGTACAACTGACGATGAGGTGAGAACGCGTAGGTCTCGGACGCCATTACCATGAGCAATCAAGGTATAACGAACACTTGATCTCCCACTTCATCGTCGGTCTCTAGGCTGACACGGGACGATCCCCCCGCGAGCAGGAATGAGATTCTCGTTGCAAAGTCGGGATATTATCGCCGATTCTATCGAAACAACTACTTGTGCTCAACACCATGTAACTGTTCCTCGATCTCCATCTATCACTCGAAGTTATTAACACGTTTTAAAACACAGGACGCGAACATTTCCATCCCCGGATGTGATAAGAACATGCCTGGATGTACAGACCCCTTCTCCGCTCCCCTCCCCCCCGAGCAAATAAAAACAAAAACCTCTCCCCTCTCTTTCGGCATTAACGCGCAACAGGCGTTATGGCCATGGCCCGACACAATCGACCGTCGATCATGATCTACGGAGGCTCTATAAAGGGGGGTTATTCCGAGCGCCTCCACCAGCCGGTCAACATCTCAAGCTGCTTCGAAGCCCACGGTGCCCTCATGTACGGTAAGATCTCGGAGGCTGATCTCGACGATGTCGTCAAGCACGCTTGCCCCGGTCCCGGTGGCTGTGGAGGTATGTATACAGCCAATACGATGGCTACGGCGATAGAGGCCATGGGCCTCACACTCCCCGGCTCTTCTACTACGCCCGCCGAATCTCCCGCGAAGATGAGGGAATGTCTCCGGGCCTCTGAAGCCATCAGAATTTGTTTGGAAAGGGATATCAAACCCCGCGATTTGATAACTCGGGAGTCTTTCGAGAATGCTATGGTCGTGACGATGATAATGGGGGGCTCCACGAACGCCGTTCTCCATTTCCTTGCAATGTCCCATACTGCTGACCTGGATTTAACTATCGACGACTTCCAGAGAGTCTCCGACAAGATTCCGTATCTGGCAGATCTCAAGCCCTCTGGAAAGTACATGGTGGCCGACCTCGCTGAAATCGGCGGCATGCCGTCGGTTCTCAAATTCTTGATTCACGCCAATCTCGTCAATGGAGATATCCCAACGGTTACTGGCAAAACACTCAGGGAAAACTGCGAGTCCGCACCCAGTCTCGACCTGGGGCAAGATATCATCAGACCCCTTAGCAATCCAATCAAATCGAGTGGTCATATTCGAATTCTGAAGGGAAACTTGGCACCTGGTGGAGCGGTTGCCAAAATCACCGGAAAAGAGGGTAAAGTATTTGTCGGAAAGGCTCGAGTCTATGATGGCGAGCCAGCCCTAATCTCCAGTTTGGAAAGGGGTGAGATCAGGCCGGATGAGAATACCGTGCTTTGCGTAAGGTATGAAGGGCCAAAGGGTGGCCCCGGTATGGTGAGTTCTGAGGGTTTCATTATTGTTGTTGTTCGTTTGGCCCGACTCGAGAGGAAACACTGCAGATAAGTGAGGTTCGGCAAACAGGAGGGCTTATTTTCCGTTTGCAATAATACGGGATTATCCAGGCTCAACACATGAAGATTTTTCTGGACTGCATATGCACCGACAATACCCGACATGGTGTCTAGGGTTATTATCAACCGCCCAACAAGGAGACTGGACGCAGGCGATATATTCGCACTCCCCCACTGGTTTCCTCCTTTAGGTGCATGGGATGTGTATCCAGGCCCACGGTTCCGAAGACTAACACCTCGGCTGAGCCCGTTTCTCATACTTATCTATCCCCAAAACACCGGCAGCTGCTCCTGCACCCAGTGTTACAGATTCTGTACTTATTGCAGCATCGTTCGTGGCTTATTTCGATACCAATTGTTTAAGAACCCATTCGTCGGCCCTTCTTGATCGAGGCCCCAAGGAAAGTGGGGAATGCTTGCAGTCCGAAGGTATCAAATTAATTGAAGTCGTGGCAGAACTTCAGGGGCTCTATCTAGAAAGGCTTTGAGGAACCTTTCTGGAAGCATCGCCGTGGGTACGTGATATGGGCCCTGCGCCTCGGAGTTGTGAATCCAGCCATTTCTCGCTCACAGGACTCGGGGCTTGATCTGTAAAGGACGACGATTCTCTGCAGGATGGCGTTTCCAAAGGATGTGTTCGATCCGGATTTCATGTTTCCTGTAGTGTCATGAGGTTAGCTTGAAAAAACGCTGACCGCAGGTTTATCTTTCAGCCGGAGCAACTAAAGACGAGCGCGGTGCTCATGGGTGCGGGCCTTCGCAACGTGGCTCTGATTACAGACGGACGCTATAGTGGTGGTGAGCATCCTGGTCAAGTTGGATGCTGCACGCTGTGAGTGGCTGCTGACACAGACCCTGCAAGCTTCACATGGATTTATCGTCGGTAGGTAACTCCTGCAGGATCGCCGGATTTTAGGTTGTCAAAAATGCAGTAATGACTTTGCAAGTAGGCCACATAGTGCCTGAAGCTCAAGTGGGTGGCCCAATCGCTATTTTGAAAGGTGAGTGAGTGCTTGCTACGACCGCCGTTGCTTTTGTCAGGCCATACTACAACACATATATTCCTTGATCTGGATGGGCACAGTGCTTCTTCGGTTCGGATGATCCATTTACTGACACGCGGGGAACGGGTACGGGGGGCGGGCAGACGGGGATATCGTCACCATCAATGCCGAGACCAACCAGATAAGCATGAGCGCCAGTGATGGCGAGATAGCTTCCAGACTGAAGAGTTGGAAAGCTCCTCGTTTGAAAGTCACCAGGGGCACGCTAGCAAAATACGTACACCTAGTTGGAGATGCTAGCCACGGGGTACGATTGCTCCTGCCTCTTATTTTTATTTTTATTTTATTTTTACACATTATTTCATCGACGCTGCTTTTTTTTTTTTTTTTTTTTTCGGAACACCATATTGGAAATATCCCGTATTACTTTCCCTGTTTTCGAACCAGACTTACGTTCCATGCGGGGACGAGGGGTTCTACGTTTCAAAGTCCACTCATGGACGAGAGGACAAATCATTCTCACAACACACCTTCCTGAGCCCCCTCCTCATTTGATAGCGGAAGTCGATGATCTGCAGTGCGCTCTGAGAGTAATTGGGGGCTGACGAGGTAAATACCATGCGGTTATTGATGATATGATTAGGCCGTTCTCGATATGTTCTAGGCCGGGCTCCATGGAGGAGTGTGTATGGATGCAGGAAGCAAGCTCCGGCAACAGCAGCGCCGCAGCATTCATGTACGAGTACGGACTTCAATTCTGTTTCGACTGGATCCACCAATGCTGTTGCAGACCAACTTGCATCGATCGTCCTCGTTGCTTTTCGTTTTCCTCGTTTTTTATTTCCTTTTTTCCCCTTTTTTTAAGACCATACCGCTTGCTTGCGATAGATCCGAGCTGTGGATTGACGTGTACAAAGAGGCCATTAAGCAGGTTTGGGATTTCTGGTGATTACAGGAAATCTTTGCCCTCCCGCTTGGCCGGAAATGGCAAGAAAAGGTAAGGCGTAAAGGGGAGAGATGGAAGGATGTATCTATCTGTGGAGGACTGTGCACTTTATTATCCGAGAAGGTTAGTTGAACTAGGCATGGGCGGTCGTTGTAGTTTTTTTTCGGGGACAACCAAGGTACACGTGAGCTGTGTGGCTTGACAGGGTAGCGCATACCAAGGCATTCTCACGCACCCTTTCCTCCCCTCCAAAAAAAAGTACCGTAAGCACTTTTCAGGACGCTAGACCAGAAAAAATATCCAAGACGCATGATACGGTAACCCATACTGTACCCGCACTGTACTCGAGGTACTCGAGTACATACATGGTGGTGGAAAAGGATGGCAGGAGAGAGACGAAGGGGGGAAGAAAAAAAGAGAACAATAAGGAAAATACCGATACCATACAGGACCGGTATGCAAAGAGGGGGGGGGGGGTGGGGGTATGTGGGAATGAAAAAAAAAAAACTAAAAAAAAACTTTAGGCACAATCTCTCACTCACTAACTTCACAGTTCACAACAGAGCTTTTTCTTCTGGACCCCAATTTGGTCGTTGAAAGGAGAAGGAAATTTTTTAAGTTTAGCCAGGGCAAAGAGACCATTCCCTTGGGGGACATAGCTAGGAGGATTCCCATCTCCTCCAGGGCCAGTGTTTCGCAGAATCTCGAGAACACAGACCCATTCTTGCGCAGATACCTACTTGTACCGCCAGAACGGGTAAGCCCCCTGGATCGTGCTGAACTTTTAAAACTTTCCCTTTCCGGGATAGCTTCTGATGGATAGATAGGATAGGCACGGTAAGTACAAGCACAGTACTACTCGTACAGTGCTTGTATAGGATGCAGTATCATACCGCAAGTACCGTACCGTGATAAGGGGGGGGGAGTCACGAAATCTTGAGATGAACCCTTCCTCTCCCCTCTCCACTTCGCATCTGCCAAGTCCACCCCCCGGTCGACTTGCATGTTCCATCTGCCTTGCCTGCTGTACGGGCGTTGTATTTCTTGGCCCAGTCCGGTTCTGACTATGGGCGTGGAGAGAGAGTTCTGTATAGTGGTAAAGCACTGCTCGTAGCTTTACTTGCTTCACCAATGCGGAGGATCGGGGGGTCATGACTAGTACGGCACATATTGGATGATTCCAACCAAGGAAGGGGTTTTACGATTGTTGAGATGATTATTTTTGTGGTTGTAACTGCGGGCTGTTTACTTGCTCGTTCATTTGGTCATTGTTGGACTGCTATGATTGTGCTTGGTGCGCTTGAATGGTGATATAATGGAAGGGGTGAGGGAGAGGAGATGTGGATGTAGCTAAAGTGCTATATAGGTTTGCGATCAGGTGGGTCCTATGCTTTACTTTGCTTTTACTTTACTTTACTTTGCTGTGCTGTGCTGTGCTGTGTGTGCTGTACTGTATTGAATTGGGTAGGCCAGCCATTATGGATAGGTGGGTAGGTAGGAATTACCGGAAGGTAAGCATCATAACTGCGTGAAGAATTCTTTTTTATTTTATTTTCCTTGTTTTTTTTATTTTTTATTTTTATTTTTTTTATTTCCTTTTATTTTCAAGTTTGGGTATCGTGTCCACCGTGTGGAGTTGTGTGGCGGCGATAGATGGTATCGGAAGGCATGATTGATTGATTGTTTCGTTCGTTCATCCCTTATCATACAGTATTGCATCATGGGTACCATACTGTACAGGAAAACAAGCATATACATATATATATATATATATATATGACACTCATCGACATTTATATAATCCCCATCGTGGAACAAAAGCTTCACACTTCGCATCCCCAATCAATCAATACCAAGACTGCATCAATTCATTACGGTATCATACCCAAACCTCGCGCCACGCCACTAACTTTAACCGTTACTAACCACTGCCACCGCCGCTAATCGCGAATGAGTAAACAAAGTACCGTACTGCAGATGAATGTGAAATTAGAATAGAATAAGAAAGGAAAGGGAAGGGAAGGGAAGGGAAAAGGAAAAAGAAAAAAAGAAAAAGAAAAAAAAAACTCCAATTCGTAAACATGGGCAAGGCGGACAAAACAAGATGTAGGTGAGCAAACGCAGTGCAAACACATAGACAAGGAAAACAAAATTTGAAATTTTTTTTGATTCATTTTTTTTTTAAAAAAAATCCCCCCAACTCCTGCCTGCGTTGCCTCCTAACCGTCCTATTATCATCCACTCGTTCATCCATCCATCCATTCATCGACCCGTCCCCATTCGTTTTTTTCTTTCTTTCGCTCTCTGCTTACTCTCTCCACACCCGATTTGGTGGGTTACTCTAGACAGGTATTTAGAAAGGTAAGGTATAATAAAAATAAAAATAATAAATAAGGTAAATAAAATAAAATAAAAAGGGCGAAAGAAGTTAGGTATTACAAAAGGAATATATAGTGGTAGGCTGTAAACCAGTCTAGACTAGAGGAGGTATTTGATTCGTCCTGTCGCATATGCTGCAGTAGTGCAGTTCGGTGTTTAAGGGCGGGGATCAAAGGGTAGGAAGAAGAAAAGGGAATATTAACGCGCGCGCGTGTAGTGTGCAGTCCAATCAAGGGAGGGGAAAACGCAAGAAGGGAGCAATGTAAGGTAGCTGAATTTAAATCGATTTTGCTTGCAGATGGTTTAAGAGCAATAAATAAATAAGATGGATGAGGCAAGGTAGACCAAGTAGACAAGTAGACTAAGAGAGGCTTTCTTTCGTTTCGTCGTTAGATGTAGAAAAAGGAAAGAAGAGATACCAGAAGAGCGGCCTAAGAAAGGTGAGAAGCTTGAGATGAGAAATAGATGAGATGGAAAGCGTAGACATGAAACAATGAACAACATTACCGATCAAACTTTGCACCAGGCTGCGTAAAGATCATGATATAACACCGCCCAACCCCCCAAGTTCCCGACCTTGCCCACCCAATTATGATGATCAAGATGATGATGGACGCCTTTTTTGTGTGTGTGTGACGTGAGGAAATAGATGACATGGAAGAGGAAGGAAGGAAATAAAACAAATAGAACAAATGCTCAGGTTCCCTTTTTTTGTGTGCAATGCTGGCAAAAAGACGAGACAGACGGGAGAAGGAAGTGGAAGGAAGGAAGGGATATTAGGTTTGTTGGACGGGTGTGCTCTAGCCTCTAGGGTTTTCTAGGCGTTCTAGATAATCTAGTCTGTCATAACGCAGTCGGCCGATTTCGCTGTTGCCGTCAATGAGGGCATGGGTTTTCTGGCTTCCTCGTCCTCCTCCATCGTGCCGTCCTTGGTGGACGAATCCCCGTTGACTGAAGCCGTGGGGCTCAAATCGGGAGTAGATGCCTCGCTGACGGTGGCAATGCTGCTGGCCACGCCGTCCTCGTCAGGCGCTCCATCCTCGGCCTCCTTGGTCGAGGGTGAGACGGCGGGTGTGAGGGGTGAGGCAGCGGAAACTGGGCTGGGGGTACTGCTTGTTGCTAGTGCCCTTGTCATTGCCGCCCCCAGGGCATCGATGGCAGAGCGAGGAGCCGTGATGGCCGAGGTAGGTGTGTTCCTAGAGCTAGTGGAGATGAAGCACTTTTGTAGGATGTCTGCATCCACGGATCCGCCATACTGGGCCGCAACCGATTCCCAGAACCCGGCACTCTGCGCCTCCACGATACGGATAAGCCTGTCCTTGTCAATTGCATCTGAGTCGCAATTCACTCGTAGCTGCTTCACTTTGCTGCTCCCCGGGTTCTTCCTTGGAGAGTAGGATGGGATCAGTCCTATCGGGTCTCTGGGCTTCGGTAGTATTGGCTTGCCCTTTATCTTTGGTTGCGTCGTGGAAAACGGTTTCTGGACGGCACCCGAAGCATTGACGGGCGAGAAGGAAGCTGTTACCGGACTTGAGGGGCGGGTCTTTGCCAACGGTGTCGAGCTGGTGCTGGAGGAGGAGGCTACGGGACTGGTCGCCGAGGCGTTTGATGAGGTTGATGATATCGAGTTGTTGCGTTTGCGACGGTTACCGCCGTGTGACAGCTGATGGTAATGGAGTCGGCAGGCAAGCTCTGTTTTGTCAAGGTGGCCCGCAATCTTTTTGTATGCTATCCTTTCGAGACGCATTTGCAAGAGATAAACTTCCTGATCATTTCAAAGAAACTCATAGCTTTGGTTAGCTATATTTTCTTTTAAAATTTCATGGTGTTTTTTTCTCCTTCTTTTCCCTCTTTCCCCCGTCCATGCCGCCTCGTTCTCTCTTCTCCGTCCCATGTTTTTGCCAATCCCAGTATCAATAGCCCGTATGATAATCGTCCATCCCAACCATCCAACCCTCCTTCCCTTGGGGCGCCCCAATAGAAGGGAGGGAAAAGAAAAGAAAGGGAGGGAATAAAAGACCGTACACCCCCACCACCACCACCACCACTAAGGCACCACCACAACAGCCATACATATACCTTCAACCACAACCCCACAAATTTAATTGCCAGGCATGGTGTGTTGGTGATGGTGGTGAGAGTGTCGGCGCAAGAGAATTTTGGAAAATGGATTTCTTAAGGCTAACCTCTTCTTCTGTCCAAGCTTTTCCACCACCAGCAGCAGACCCCTTGCGCCCCTGTAGCAACGGCCAAGTCAGCAACAACTCATCTCATCTTGGCCATCCAGCACCAGTGTTTGCTTCCCCCATCCACCACCACCATCATCGTTGTTGTCGTCACCACAATCGACTCCACACAACAACCAAAATAAGGAGGTGGGGAAATTTAAAAGGGGAAGGGGGGGGGGTCATAAGAAAAGGGGGGGGTAAAATCTTACTTTGGCAATGACAGATGTCACAGGAGAAGAGCTCATCTTCGAAGGTAGGTAATTATTTTAATGTGTTTAAAATTGTTCAAAGTGTAAAAGACTCTTGTTATCCCTCCCACGAATGGTGGAAGTCCGTTGCACAGATGTGTGAATTGTACAAAGACCCGGGGGTTGAGGTAGTGGGTGGTAGTAGAGCAAGGTGAGATTGTAGTAATAGTAGAAGCGGTAGTAGTAGCAGTAGTGGTAGTAGCAGGCAGGCAGTAGAAGAAGTAAAAAGAATCTGGGGTTTAATATTGAGGGGGGGGTGGTGGATATGTATGTGAAGTATTGATATTTAGGGTACTGGAAGGGGGGGGGGGGGTATGAGAAAGGTAGGTTTGCTTTTTCCAAGTCGAAACCGAGGCGCAGGTAGGCGAAGGAGGTATAAGGGGGGGGTGAGTGGTCGTAGAAGGTCGAAATAATATAAAATAAAATAAAAAGATAAAAAAATTAAAAAAAAATAGAGAGAGATGCTTTTATCTGAGAGAGGTAGGGGTAGAGCTCAAAGCGAATGGAGCGCCGGGAAGGATCAAATAAAAAAAAAAAAAAACGGCCAAGGGCAAAGAAGGAAGATTCGAACAAAGTGGGCTGCGTGGTGAGCAGGGTGATGATGGTAGGGGAGGAATAAAGGGATTCTAGGTAAAAAAAATAGCGTATGAACCCAAAAGGGCTTCACCGTCAGGCTGGCATCCCATGCCGTTTTTGACTCCTGCGTTGTCCGTGCTTGAGAACTAAGGCAAGTCCTGATGCTTGGAATTATTTTTTTTTTGCCCGCTGCGAGCGAGCGTCCTTTACGCGGATAGCGTTGGTTGGAGGGGGGGTGGGGGTTCTGGGCTGGGCTGGGGAAGCTCTCTCTCTCTCTTTTTTTTCTTCTTCTGTTCTTTCTCTTTTCTACGGGAGGAAGAAGGGAAAGGAACAGTCCGGGGGAGTGGGGGGGGGGGGCGTCGATTGTCTGATCTATGCTCGTCTGTACTGTACAGTCTCTCTCTGTTCTGAATATGATTTCCCAGATTTTCCCATCTTGTAGGTACAGTACCAGTACAGCACTGTACGCTATGCTGGTTTTCCGGTGTGCGGACGGAAGGCCCAGAAAGGCTTTAGCAGAATGAAGTATCGAGAAGCAGGAGCAGAAGCAAGCATCAGAAGCAACAACATCAGCACCAGCAGGAAGCAAGCAGGAGCACCACCACCACCACCACCACCATCACCACCATCAGCACCGCAGAAGCAGGAGCAGAAACATCATCGACATTTAGCAACCACCAAGGTTGAAAAAGAAATGAATAAAAATCGAATGGAAGGGCCCACAGGCGGAGAGGTCAAAGTATAGCATAACATAGCACCACTGGAGCATAGACATGGAGAAACGTCGATCAAGCACTCGTCTCTTTTGTCTTGGCTTGCCTTCCCCTAATCGGATCTCAGCTGGCTCTTCCAAATCCTAAAACCCAAGCTCCCAACCTACGATACGCGCATTCCTAACCAAGCCAAACTCTAAAAACATGGGCCAAAAGCTAGGCGACTGAACCCATTAACGAGAAGAAGAAGAGGAAGAAGAAGCCCAGGCAGACAGGAATAGAATGGTGGTGATGATGAAGAAAAAGAGTCGGATTTGTCCTGCTCATCTCCATCCAATTCCGTGAGGATTGGTTCTCCACAAAAAAAAAAAAGGCAAAAGAAAAGGTCAAAGTAAGCAAGTAGGGTACTCTCTCTACTCGTACCCTGCTCGAGTATGATGCCAGTTTAGTCAACTGTAGGAGAGATGTAGGAGCCAGTGTCTCTGTTTTGTCCAGCCAAGTTTCCAATCGCACGAGAGGAGCGTGCAGGGCGTCTGATGTTTGCTCCCGCCTCTGGCCTGTCCCCCTGGGTCGGTCCTGGTGCGCGATCCGCTTCGTTTTGGCGAACTGTTTGATAAGTGTGCACCGAACATGCTGTAGTCTCCCCATACACCCTGGACAAGCGAGCACGCCCTAGCTTACCCACATCGATTCAACAGCCTGCATATCCGACACACTAAACCTCTTTCAACTTTATTTATCACCCTTTCACCCCCTCCACCACCCTTTGCTCAAACTCGCACCCCCTGAATCCTATGTATTTGTTGAGGGGGACGATGAAGTTGAAGGTAGGTGGGATGGGCTGGGGTGAGCGGTGGGGAGGTGTGTTTGAATTGCAGGCATGCTTGGAAGGACTCTAATTGATTGTAAATTAATTCATGTACGTCGAGAAGGGAATGAAAGGAAAAAAAAAAAAAAAGAAGAGAAGAAGCAGCAGCGGCAGCAGCAGCAGAAGCAAGAGGAACAATAAAATGATGGAGATAAAACCCCCGGAATACATTTCCCCTGCTCTCTATCGCCGTCAGGAAGCCACCGCTAAATTCTAACGTCGTCCACGTACTCTGCACCACCATCAACCCCCCCCCCCCCTTTTCCCATGTTTCCATTTATCTATTTATTTTCTTTTCTCCCTTTTTCATCATTCCACTCCGCTCCACTCCATCCCAGACATGGACCACGATGGTACGTTCGGGAAAAACCATCGTGACCAGTTGTCGCGGCGGGAATCTGGAGTGGTTCGGGTCGAGTATCATGTCGGATTTCCCAAAGGTGTTATATAAGGAGGGAGGAGAGATATCGTGGTTTGGCAAGCAGGATGGGGTTCCCGGTACGCATGTTTGGGGCAACCCGGGTGGTGAATTTTACGATCGATGAGAAATCGATGTATAGTGCAATACAGTAAACACAGGGGGGGGAACCCGTCATCCACCACCTACAGCATCCCTCCTCCCTCCTCTCCTCCTCTCCTATGGAGGGGGAGAGGGGGAGGGGCGCGAATACACAAAAGTAACTCGATACCAGCAACGATTAACTTGATCGATTATATGACAGGCAACCACTACTCCCCCCCCCCGTCTCCCCCGAGTTCGCTGCTTATTGTGGTAGAGGAGGGTGAGTAAAATTTCCGAGAGGCGGGGAAAGGTACAAAATGGATAATGGAAAAAAAAGAAAGATTTATCGATTCGACGATAAATACGATAAGAGGTACCGCGCAAGGATCACCGAACCAGGACATGGTATCCTTTTTTTTCTTCTTTTCTTTTCTTTTTGAGAAGTGGTAGAAAAGTGCAGAAGATCGGTGGGAAAGTTCGACATGAGAGGGAGGAAATCTGATCTGATGATGAAAAAAAGTCACTTTCCACCTAACGAAGCACGGGTACGGTAGCACGATTGAGTAGAAAAAGTCACCTCCACCTTAGACCTTAGCCCAAACCCTTACCTCTTTATTTATTTTTTAATATCATAATACCTTTCCCGCTTCGCCTGGCCCAGGTCGGGTTGGAAATGGCATCGATTATAATGGGATTATGGGGATAACAAATATAATATGATTATTATTGTGAATAATCCGTTCCGTTCAACAATCCATCCGTTTCCCCCCCTTGGTCATCACACACATTCGATACCTTACCCCGATAAACCAAACCAAACGTCCCCCACTCCACATCATACAAACCAATGAAATATAAAACAGCGAAGAAACAATGGGAGGAGAAGAAGAAGAAAAGAAAAAAACTGCAAACCCAACCCGACTCACCGACCGACCTACCTGCCTACGGTGTTCACCTACTGTATATATCATACTTGCACATACGAGTACCGCATCATACCCACCACCCAGGCCATTACTCAATCCCCGATCCACCAACCTCCCTTCTCGCCCCCCCCCCCCCCTTAACCGTCCGGGCACCATACCGAAAAAAGCAACCCAACCCAACCCGAACCAAAAGGTTAACAATTCCAAAACGGACCTCATCCACCCATCCGTTCCTTCGTTCATCCCCACGCCAACCTGGGAGGAACCGCACCATCTCATACCGATACCGTACCGATATTGCGGAGAAGAAGCCTTCCCCTCCCCTCTCCCCTGCTTCCCTTCGAAGAAGGAAGGAAGGAAAGAAGAAAGTGAATGGAGGAAACACCCGGTAACTCGTGAATACTCCGATAGGTAATGTTCCAAGTCTCCCTTTTCGGGTCTAGCCAGTTTGGAGGTTGAGAGATTAAGCTATGATAAATCGCAATTTATTACAGGCAAGGAAGGCAGGTACGGTAACAATAACGCTAGGCGGAAGAAAAAAAAAAGGATTCCCACAATCCAGGTTTGTCGGCCTTCCGAAACCTTTTTTTTTTTTCTTTCTCCTGTGTTTTCGTGTTTCTGATTTTATGCATGGTTGGGTGGATGGATTACTGTTGGTTAGTTGGCTGGCTGGCTAGCTGCTTGTAGGGTACAGCACCCTACAGAGGTCGGCAAGGCTACTGTTTCGCCAACTGGCTAGGCTCTAACCGGTTGGCGGAGCCGAGGTGTTGTACGAGTACTCGAACTGTACCGGCACCGACTGCAGCGGTGGCATAGCGGTTGTGGGAATAAATAGATTTATGCGTGGTATTGTGGACAGATGGATAGATGGCGGGTATCATACCATAGCGTGTATCATACTGCTGCATTGTACGAGTACCCGTACAGCAGTTGATTAATCGATGGGAAACTAGAGGTAAACTAACAGGGGGGTATTAGAAATACGAGTGCTGGTACAGTACCTGTACCGTAGATACCAGTACTCTAACTTACATGACAGATATCACAATCAGATAAACACCAACAACAACCTCTCCATCCCGAATATCATAGCTATCATAGCTAACTAGCCAGCTATCCATCCATCCATCCATCCATCCGTCCGTCCGTCCGTCCGTCCATCAACCCACCAAGCCCTGATCACCATACCGTACCAGCACCTCCCCAACTCAACCCCATACTCATCAATCACAAAAGAAAAAACAACCCACCCCGGATATGCCTCCCAATGCACAGCACAGCAGAGCACACGCATATAACCATCTCTCTCCAGCATACCATCCCCATCCCATCCCCTCCCCTCCCGTCCATCCCATCCCATCCCATCCATCCATCCCATCCACCCCACCCTAACACCACCAGCACTCCTCCGGGCTGAACCGACGACGAGTAAGGTGCAAAAGAAGAAAAGAAAAGAAAAAAGGTGTTCGCTGGCAATCGCGATATTGACAATTTTGATTCAGAATTGAGCGAGGCATGATAATAGAGTTGCGGGTGGTATTTTTTTTGTTTTTTTCCCTCTCTTTCGTGCACCGGTATAGTACTGTACAGTCGG